CACACACACACACACACACACACACACACATATATATATATATATATATTGTACATGATGTTGGTTCATGAAACGTTGCAATCATATTTTGAAGCTTTTGTGTGATGCTGGAGGCAGTGTACGATGTCTTTCATGAGTTGGGGTTGCATGTACATGGCAAAGTAATTTGCGGTGTATTGAATCACAAGCTTGATGTATACACATTTTATTCAGTTGTCCGATACTAAGTAGTGCTACGTTTTACTGTATAGACCGGGAAGTCGTGGATGAAGAAAAGTGAGCTTAAAGCCAATGAGGCTAACGAACGGAAACGGAAAAAAGAGGCGGCCCAGATCGCTGCCGCGGAGGAACTCCTTCACAACAAGAAGGCTAAAGTAACGGAAGACGGTACAGCTGCACCCATTGCGGGCGAGAATAAGGGTACGCACACACCAAGTATAAGTACAGGCACACTAGTGACTAAGACTGGGCTCCCGTTGGTAGCAGCGGAGAATGAAGTGGCGGCTAAAGTGGGCGGTTTAGGCGAAGAGGATAAGAAACGGTCGGGGCTGAACATGGCACCGGTATGTGGAATTGTACACATTAGTGTAGCAGTCTGTGGGGCTCTGTTGTGTTATGACTCCTTATGATGGTTTGGCGTATTGTAGTTATTCTCTCAGTGAACCGGTCTGCGTTGGAGGCCATACCTTGAATTTGCCTTTCTGTGCGTGCCTTCTCAAACTGCAGGTCATTGCAGAAGAATTGTATGTTTTCCATACATTGTTTTTTTTACTTGATGCGCGTGAATCTTGTGGATTTTGTGAATACGTCTTGTGTATATTTATAGATACAGGCGCGCAGTAAGCTAAATCCCCACGATATGACACAATGAATAACGTTGTGGCACACTAGAAGCTGTCTGTGCGAGATCTGATCTTTCTGCTTCTTCGCACCTTACGACTGTAGTTGCACGCTTGCACATATCACTACCCCCTCGCCGTTCTCATGCGCACTGGGTCCATACATGTGCACGATTGAATAAAAAAAATAGCGATAAAACGACGAAGCTTGAAGTAATTTCAAAGCTATGAATCTATATGATTACAGAAAGAAGTGGTCCGCCAATTGCGAGACAGGAACGAGCCCATTCGCCTGTTTGGAGAGACGGATACCATGCGTATGCACCGTTTGGAGTACCTGAAGACACACGAGGCCGTGGTAGACGAGGGCATGCGCAACGATTTCATGGAGGCTATAGACCGTGTGAACGAAAAGTATCTGCAGAGCTTTCTGCTGGAAAAGCAACAGGTGTGTGTGTCGGTGTGTGTGTACGGGAGATTGATGTGTGTGTACGAGTGTGCGTTAGTTAGAAAGTGCGGTGAAATTATTAGTTGTAGCTGTAGCACGAACACGAGGCTGAGATACACGGAGTTTCTCGCAACGCTTTGTAATCACTGTCGGCTGTATGGAAAAGGAGGTGTCCGCTGATGGGTTTGCTGAGGAAGAAGCGGGTGCGGATAATTTGTGTTGTATCAATCCTAGGATATGATGTGTAGCATACTCTACACTAGGCTTGGGGCGAATGAGGCGGTGTGTGAGAGACTGTATATGCGTCGTGCATATATGCGTCGTGCATATATGCGTCGTGCATATATGCGTATGCTTCAGTATCGCACATGACACTCATATACTTTGAGCCAAAAGATTGGTGCGGTGGTTGCAGAAATATACATACTGCAATCAAGCAGCAGAACCGGCATCAAAGTGCATGTCATGTGTTGTGGAGTACTAAGCAAAACCGATATCGGTCCTGTTTTTGTATCAGAGTGTATGCTTACACGTCCATTCGTTGCTTGTTTTTGGATTACTGTGCCTGTGGCTCATACGAGACATCCGCAAGTTTTTTTTTGCAGAAGTTCGGCGCTGTTTTTGGAAATGTTTTTGTCTTGCCAATTCTTATCACACGCTCTCAACCACCTCACATGCGCAAGTAGTAAAATGAATGCACGTGTATAGAATTCAATATAGGGCAGTGATTTTAGGATTTTGAAAGTAGTGTAGATGGATCGGCAGAATTTATTGACCTTTTACGCACAGACGAACATGGCGCTGTGTCGCGAATGGGCGCCGTATTAAAGCCACGGTGATTATATATATAGAGAAGAGTACCGATGATGTTTTGTTCTCATTCCCGGTTGGATTTGTGCAATTATGAAGTGGCTAAATGCTGACCGAAAAAAAAGTTTATACGACGCAAATGGGGTGACAATTGGATTTATACCACATATAGACATATCAAATTATAGTAAACATCTATGTACATATGCTCTGATGCTTGTTGTTCCTTTAGTAAATCTTGTATGCTGACTGTTTGCCAATAGTCTGATGAGCAAAAAGAATCAGAACGGAAACGGCGTGCGGAGGAACGCGGCATGATAGAAGACGTTACCAAGAAACAAATCGACTCGCTATATAAAGTACTAGTAGCAGGCAAAGCAACCCCCCAGGATAGTGCAACATTCTGTTTACGGTAAGTGGTGGACAGTGCTATATGTACTGACGGTGTTTAGTCTGGGAGTGGGTGCGGCGTGATGAGAGGGAGTGTATCTGCATATGCATACAGGCAGTGAACCAACCCCTATAGGAGGACGTGCCTGGTTTCGCGGATGGCTGAGGTGAAAATGAGATCGCTATTTTGGTTGTTTCGTTGATCCGAGTGATGTCGATGCACATGCATCTGTGTACATGTGTCGTCTCAAGGTTCGTAGACTACTGCTCGATCACTTCTACCGCTACACCTTGTTGCTGGCACTCATGTGGGGTACGTTCCCAACAACCGAGTAGTCGTTTTGAGATACTGTGCGTGCCATCCACTCGAAGCAACATTACTTGAGTATTCGTTTCAAACTACTAGTATGCGGGGGTTGACTACTCACATCATCATTGCTAACTGCAGGTACGTGCAGTATTTACTTATGAAGTGGGAGGATGATCTGGAGAACAAAGACATCAACGACAAGCGCACCGCGATAGGCCGCAAGGAATCTGCAATTTACAGTCAAACATGCTCGTATATTGAGCCTATGCAGGTTGGTAGGGAGATCTGGTTTGATGCCTCAAGTTTAAACTAAGTCTTGTCTCTGGTTATAATAAGTTCTATCTCTATGTATGTATGTATGTATGTATGTATGTATGTATGTATGTATGTATGTATGTATGTATGTATATATGTATGTATATATGTATATATATGAATTNTATTATATATATATATATATATATATATATATATATATATATATATATATATATATATATATATATATATATATATATATA